ATTCATATGTATTAACACACATTATATGATATGCATTTGACACTGGGTCCTGTTAGGATTAAATGAAAGGTTAATTGTCCTGCTAATTTCATAGTCATGGAGAAATACCCAAAATGGAATCATATACATCCTCAAATACTTCTGCACACTCAAGGAAACCCTAGCCATATTCTGGACCTCTGTTGAAGCTAATATAGTATGACCGATCTGCAGCTGAAAAGTTAAAAATCTTTCTAAGCACATCCAAGCTATCAGGTATACTTTAAAAGCAGCATTCTGGACTCCAAAGAAAACATTATACCAATTATGTGTCCACATTTATTATAGTTGTGTAATTTTCTCCAATAGACACAGAGGGAGCTTTCCCTAGTTTGGAAAAGAGGATGGACCCATCTTGCCTCCCCACTTTTCAAACATTCACTTACTGCAATTAATAAGCAGATCATTGTATATTTAAGACATTCCTTAAGTTATTTCTTAAATGCACAATGATCTTCTATTTACAGTTATTACCATCATGAAAAGCTTAAAAAATGACATCAATATCTGTTGCACCACACTCCATTATTTCTCCCATCTTCCTGATTTAATGTTCCCCTGTGTCCAAATTCCCTGTTACTATGCTAGAGCAATCAGATTCTTTTTCATCTGGTCATTCTGCTCATTTCTACAGATGTCATGCTTCGGTGAAGTTCAGGAAAATATCTTGGAAGACAAAGAGGAAGTAAAAGCTCAGCTGCTAATGATGCAAGGAGATGTAAACATAGTTGGGTGGCATTAATTTCCTACCATTTTTATATATATGGCTGCTTTATGCTAAAATGCAGGCTCTCACATTTAAAAGTTTCTATAAGCATTCAGAAAAAAATAAACTTGAGGGTGCCAAGGATACATATTGTAATCCACCTCTTCATCACATTTGATGAGAAGGTCTTTAGAGAGGTACTATACAACCACATTTAGATGAAGGCAGCTACAGCCTTAAATGACAGGAGAATCCAGATTTAGGCCCTCCTGGTAGCTTATCACTATATGATTACACCTTCCTAGAGACTATGCTTATCAGTATGGAATACCTGAATGGATTATTTGTCCCTACTACTCTTTTTTTTCATGCCCCTGAAGAGGATCTGTAAGAGACCAAAGCTTCTATATCACAATTTTAAATGCATATACTTGATCCAGATGACACTTCAAATTTGCACTGATGGTCCAACTGTAATGTAGGTGCAAGAGTTCCTTATGTAGTTTCATACAAGTGCTCAGGTGACATAAATGTTACCCATATGAGATATAAACCAATACATGATAAGTGTGTGAACAATTAAATTGCATCTCACAACCAACAATAATCACTTTGCACTCAAAACACAGAACTCTATTCCTTCTAAGACTTCCCAGTTCATAAGTGGGTTAATCGGAAAATACTCATGAAGTCTTGTAGAATTTTGTGTCTGTGACAATCAAAGAACAGGGGAATGTCTTTATTTCCATCCTGCAATATACAGCAAAGGGCCCCTTTCTTATAAATTTCTGGGCTTTATGCAGTCATGTGATTTACAACAATTACTAAAACTTAACCCGAACACACAAAACTCCAGTCCTAAAGGTTGCATGTCTAAAGGAGAGGGCTCTTCTCCATACCTTTCCTTATCTCTCTTTGAAAACCAAGCACACACACTCCACAAGTCTGGCCCCTGGGTAAAACTACAGCTAGGCAAACCACAAAAGGAAAGTCTCCACTGAGTTGAGCTTAATCCTGATGATTTCACAGATACATCCACAGAATTTTCTTGTCAATAATATGAAAGCAGCTTCATGTTGCTTTCCGCTGGGATATTTTTTTGACTTCCCAGTCTATCATAAAGCCCTTGGTTTTCCTGATCATCTCTCATCCAAATACTAATGAAGCCTTAATCTTAATCTTTAATTATACATAAGGATTATTCCCTGAGACTCTACATTAGGGTATTCACTAGCCCCTTTATGATAAAGTAGATTCACTCAATAGGAGCTTTTCTAGAGGTTGGACTAGCTTCCAAAGATAGAAGCTCAAATTGACCAATCATTGCCCTAAATGACCCAATCAAGCATGTTCCAGATGATTCCTACAATCTCTATTTATTGTAAGTCAAAGTGATATGAAAATCAGTCTAGGTATCAAGGTAAGTTTTGGTCCAGGCATGCCGTCACTTATGGGAATAATCTAGCAAGTGGTAGGAGAGTCTGCAACTATACTGTCCAATTCACAAAAGTGTACAACATGTTGGGCATATGGGATACAGGTAGTCCCCAGGTTAAGAATGCCTGGTTTATGGATGACCCATAGTTAAGAACAAAGCCTTATTGTAGCAAAATTTGAGTTAAATACACAATGTTTTGAATTAATAATGGTTTGAGTTCATTACACAACAGTACTTATACAGTATTATACAATAATACAGTTTCGATTTACGTACAAATTTGACTAAGGAAAGACCTTGGGAACGGAACTTGTTCTTAAACTGGGGACTACCTGTATTAGGGGGATACACATGTAGCAGGGAAAATTTCCCAGGCAAAGTGCCAATCAAGAATTCTCTAGAGAGGCCTTCCTAGTACAGCAGTTTTGTTCTTAAAAAATAAGTTGCCATTAGCTACAGAGAGATTTTTATTTTACACTGAACATAACAAGAAATCTCTTTACAGTTTTACTTCGGGGTTTGAGATTAAGGCAGGAAACATGATGACAAGCTTTTGCACAGGGCACAAAGGACAAACTGAAGAGATCAAAATATTGTTTTAGTACCCAAAATTATTTATAGAGACAAACAGGGAACTCAGATATAGGCACTTAACTAAAATGTAATCCAACACAACTAATGAAATTCAGACATTATTGTGGAGTAACTACTCTTGTTGTCCTTTATTTCACTGGGAATTCTTTGCTAAAAATATCTCAACCTGATCCTTTTTCTCCTTCCTTATCACCCACCAACTCCCAATGCACAACTGTATTTTTTCCCACTAATAGCTAGTAAAGTTTCCTAGGATCCTTCATGGTAAACGATTTAACTCTTGGTGCTCTCTCTTATCACCGGCTTACAAAGAAAAGGTGGGAGTATTAAAGCCCTTTGTGGACTAAAAAGACACAGAAAATAACCCAAAGAACAAAAGTATGTATTAGAAGAGAAATGATACGGGTAGACAGAGAATAAAAGAGAAAAATAAGAATTTTAAACTAAGAAAATGCTCTCCTTTGTTCAATAACCCATACACCCAATTGCCAACCTAAATAAGATATATTGCTATATGTCACATTGAACCTATAGCTACTTAGGGTTATGTGGGCATGTGTGTATTTACTCTCTTTCTTTCTTTTATTATGTTTAGATGCAGTATCAGCATATGTACAAAATTTCATTAATTAGCCAAGCAATAGTGCAGTCTGTGTTTTGCCTGGGTGTCTGTAACTGTGCTGTGAAATTGAAAAAAATGTCATGTTTTTAAAGAAAAGCACTTTTACAGACAGAATTAGGTCAAGGAAGAAAGAGCAGAGGGACTAAACAAAAATGAAAAAAATGTCTTTGATGTCTCCTGTTTGAGAATAAAGGTACACAGGAAAACATGTTTCATGCTGATTTCTTTAGTCATCAGTATTATTGTTCATGTGGAGATACTGAACCCATAAAAATTATGGTGGGTGGGTGGGAATAATGCCACCCACTGGGTGTCAGTATTTCTTGGAAGTTTAAATGATGCTATTAAGTTAGTAGCCTTATTTTGCACATCTGTTCATTGTTCTCTACCAAAAGGTAGAAAAGGACTGCTACAGTTAAATGATAAATCACGAAGACCTTGTTAGAATAAGAGAAATCCAGAATCACTGTGAAAGTAATAACATTTTAGGGCCCATATTTTCTAGTCAAGCAACCCAAGAAGGAAGCTATATTTATAGCTCTGCAAGACTGTAGCATTCATTCTGGTGTTTATAAATAACAAGCCATCCTGTTGGGGAATTGTGGAGGACATCGCCACAATGCATCTGGAAGGCACCAAACGTGGACTTCACTTTTCTCGTAAAAGAAAGTCCAGTGCCTATGTGTAATAGAATAGAGGGAAGGATAAAAATAGAATAGAGGTGGATAAAAATAAGAACTCTCACCAGTGAAAATACATACTTGTACAAAAACTATGATGAATATAACCATGACCTAGAATTACACAAGGCGAAATACAAAACATTCAGCTCTCTTCTCTCAATTAATATAACTTATTCACCATAATAAATAAGGGAACATTTTTTAAAAATTCATTATCAGGGCCCTCAAGTAGTCAACGTTAAGGTTCACACGGCAAAGGTACCCACTTAATGGGGGATTTGGAGCAACATGATAGAATAGCCACACTCTCCCCCATCCACCAATTGGCACTGAAAATTTCTTTCAAAGGAATTCCACTTAATGGCAGACTCGGGGCGACATGATAGGATAGCCACACTCCCCCCACCCACCAATTGGTACTGAGGTACTTTCTTTCAAAGGAATTTTTCACCAGACAGGTAAATCTTTATAAAATTTTCTGAGATGGCCTATACATACAGAATCTGTGTGCCAGTGTAATTGAACAGAAACTCTCATCAATCACTGTCACGTCTAAAGGACTGTGACATTTCGGTGCAATTTATAAAGAGTTATGTTAACCAGGAAGGAGATTCTCTAATGGTCTGTTTTCAACCTACTACACCATGAAGCAAATCAAGAGTTGATGAGAGCTTGTCTGTCAGCTGTAGAATCAAGCCCCAAATAACCCAATCCCTGAGTTTCTCAGTGATGCAATTTGGCGATTAGAGCACTGTAAAAAGATTAGCAGTTTGGCGATTAGAGCAGTGTGAGAAGATAAGCAAGCCAATTTAAAATTGACAGTTCAGTCAGAGGTTAAAGCATGAGTTTCCCCAATGAAGCAACGATGCTGAAACATTCCACCGTGCCACCTTTCCAGCAGAAGAGAAAATGTAATACCTTTCGTTCATGACTTCTTGTGCCACCAGAAGTATTCTGCTTGAGAAAACCTGCTGTTGTGGACCATCTTGTGGGGTTTTTTCGTGAAGGCTCTTCTGAAGCAAAATTGTTATCACTGACTGATGTGGAGAGGCCAACTAATGCTGGGTCACTGCTGCGCCGTACATGAAGGGGCATATCTGAGGGGACACAAAGGAAAAGAAACTGTGATGTAAGACCTTTCCTACAAAGTGGGACACTCATACTGTTCTTATTTTGAAGCCAAATGGTTACAATAGCCAACCTGCAGGATAAGAAAAAGAAAAAAAGAGTCTCCAATTAGTTATCTAACATAACCAATGGAAGAATAAATTGCTTGAAGGCTAGAAAGGAGCTACTCTTATAGGACAGGATTGCACTGCAAACAATGGGTGATGGCAGAATAAAAATTAAATTTAATTAGTTAAATTCAGTTAATATACTACTTTGGGTATTTAATCATCTTCCCCTTCTGTCACATCAATTTATAGTCTGATTATAACTTTTGGAGCAGCCCTGGGGCATGGACTTAAAACTTTCACGGGCAACATACAGCTCTGGGATGGGCTGTACACCTCTTTTTAAAGCACCCAACATTCTTGAACAAACCATATGAAGTTCTGAACCATTCATTTATAAAATGCAATAGTTTGTCAAAGGAAGATGCTTTAACCAAAAGCAATCATACTGACCTTTTGTAAAAATGGCAGTTGCTGGCATAATGTACAGTATCTCAAGCACTTGGATCATTCATAATATTTTCCCTTCTTTTGAAACAAATCAGGAGGGAAATCACACCATTTGAGTTTCCAAGCAATTTGGCTCAGTCCTTATTCACACTGAAGGATATGTACATAGCTGAGAGCACACTTCTATCATACTACTCATTACTATAGTGCCCCTAAATGACAGTATAATAAACTTGGCCTTAGATATTAGGAGTCTTCCTTAAGATTCTTGTCCCCAAGAGGAGAGTATTATCAATACTATTTACAAAAACACAGTTGTTTACCATGGGCAAGCAATGGTAAAGCAATGTGGGTACTCCAAATATTGTTGAACTGCACCACCAGCATCCTTCACTTTTAGCCACTCATCACAGAGTTGCTGGGAATTGTAGTTCAGCAACTTCTGGGTTGCACATTCACCCTCCATACATATGCAGAAAACCAAAAACAGGATCTGTTTATCTATGTTTCTCCTTTTGCAGTGTTTGTGATGGATCACATTTTAGAAGTAATTTAGGGGCTTAATATACCAATGTTCTGGAAAAATTAGGACATTTCATCAACATTACTGGGCAGTTAGTCACCAAATTTTGGCATCATGTTTTTAAAAAGTTATGTAAGTTGCAAAAATGGGGCTACGGCTAACATGCATTAACACAAAGCACAATTTTACATAATGCACATAAATTCAAGAGAGTTGTGATCTCTCTCCAACGTTTGTTTAAACCACCTAAGAATTACATTTGATTTGATCTGACATTCTGCTTTCTTATCTAGTTTTGGGAGAAAGAAACATTTGATGCTATACTGCTGTGGGCATTTATATAATATATATTAATCAGGCTAAGAGAGACCTGCACTTTTAATACGGAACCATCATGTACAGTAATCATAATCGTTTTCAAGGTCTTTTTACATAGTACTGTTCATGCCTTGATCATGAAAATCCAACCGTAGTTGGCACAGAGTTAGCAGGACACCATGGTTCCAACCTTAAGGGTTTATATAATCAAAGATTATTGCTATGCTGAGTATTCGTTTGGCAGTGTGGTACTGGGTCTTTTAAACTTCTTTGGCAACAAACAGCACCCAAGAGAACTCAAAAGCAACAAGTTCTCAAGTATTTTATTTGGAAAGAGGAAAAGTAAGTGAAATGAAAAATAAAATTTATTTTTATTAGGCTGTCTAGCTTCCCTGTTTAAACACCATACATTTTTATTGCACTTCAAGATGTTCAGCAAAGGAAATACATTTATAAAAGAGATGTTTCTAGTAATGAGGGAGAATGTAATATAAAAATGGAACAAAAATAATTATGGATGTGTGCATGTGTGTGCATGGATGTGTGTGTGTGTATGTATGGATGTGTGTGTATATATGTGTGTGTGTGTGTGTGTGTGTATGTGTGTGTGTGT